TATCTGTCTGTCCGCAAGCCGCGTTTGTTCCGGGTAATCTCCGAAACGACTGGACCGATTTCGAGCAGACTTTCACTGAAGGCTGATATACCAGCATATACGGTACTTTTTTTTATCTCAATATTGCATGGACGAAGTCGCAGGCAACAGCTAATATAACATTAAAATGCAATCAACAAATGTCAGCTACTGGTATGTGTAGTTCCCTACAGTGGTCACTTAACATTATGCCACTACAATTGGTAAGGAAGTAACCTAAAGGCATAGATAGTAACCAGAGGGTCTATCACGAATATTTAAGTGACAGTTACGAGAATACTTGTGTGGTATTTGTTGTTAATACAACTTGGGTAATCCCAAGGGGTACAAAAGACTAATTTTAAATTAGGTGCCATTCGATTCTTAAAGCGTTAAGTCAGTATACTAATATAATAAAGAGGAAAGATTTGTATGTTAATATTTTTGATTTTATTGAAATAACTCAAAAACTATTGGGATGATTTCAAAAATTCTTTCACCATTAAAAAGCTACGTTATCACTGAGTATACTTAAGTCGCGAGCTAAGTTGAATAAATACTTACTTAGTGTGGTAGCTTTGGTATCATCAGGTCTGTATTTGCTCTGTCCTATCTTGTTGATGGCCATCACGGAGAAGACGTAGTCTTTGCCGCGCTCCAGCCCCGATACGGTGAAGGACGTCGCATTCCGCGGGACAACGTCCTCATATTTGTATGCGTCATCGTAGATTTTACTGTAAACACATTATTGGTATATAGCTAATTACAGTTAGTGTCCGAAAGCTGGTTTCTCGAACATAACAGAAACAGAAATCGGCTTTGCTTTCTGTTTCGGACGAAACCGAAACTTCATAAAAAATAAAGATTACGATTATTTATTGTAATAAAGCCATTTTTAAAACAATTTTCTTATATAGGGTTTAAGAAACGGATCAAAAGGTATTTGACCTGAAATGTGCCGAAACCGAAAGTTTTAGTCACTAGTGAAATAAAGTGGGATAAGATCGGAAAAATATTAAAAGTATTGTAGTTTTACCTATACTAATATTACAAAGAGGAAAGATTTGTATTTTTGTGTGTATAATAACTCAAAAACTACCGGGTCAATTCTTTCACCATTAAGCTACGTTACAACTGAGTAACATAGGCTATATTTACTATTTTAATTTCACACAGATGAAGTCGTGAGAAACGGCTAATATATGTAGAAATGTCAGATAAATGTTGCAGTATATATGCTCACCGGAATCGTATCCTGAACCAGGAAGGCAGGCCGCCGTCGAAGCCCGGCACCCAGGAGAGAGTGACTGAGTTGTGTGTCACATTAGTTACTGTTAGAGACGATACCAAATCTAAAACAAATCACACATTAAATATTATAAATGCAAAAGTTTAGATGGATGTTTGTTAGATTTTGTAGCCAAAACACCTAAACGGATTTCAATGAAATTTAGTATGGATGTAGAGGATAGTCTGGAAGAACACATAGGCTACTTTTTATCCCGAAAATAGTTACGGTTCCTATGGGATGCATTAATTTTGTCCTTAAATGTTTACTCGATAATTCTGCAACGGTTCTAAATATTTTATTGAAATTTGTCATATAAAACAAAGTCTGGAGTATACATTGGATAGAATCATCCCCAAAAAATATCCGGTTCCTAGGGGACACGTAGTTTTTTGTTTTTTACATAGTTCGTCTGTTTTCTAATACCACGCGGACGAAGTCGCGGGCAACAGCTAGCTCGTAAAACGATTATATCGCACATTAAAATCGAGACATTTGTGATATAGAATACCAATAAACAAACGAGTTTATAGTGTTACCTGGTGCACTTGTGATATCCAATTTTACAGACGTAGTGCTGAAGCCGAGGTCGTTCCGCGCTCCGCACTCGTACGAACCGTAGTCAGAAGATGTCACATCATTAATTAATAACACTGATGTGTAAGTGATTGCATCAGATTTATGAAACTCCGCGAAGTATTTAGTAGAAGTATTAACGGGCAGTTTGGCTCCGTTCTTTGACCATGTGAAGTTAGGCGCTGGTGCTGTTTTGCATCTGAAATTATTGCGTCCAATAGAAACATATATATGTCATTTTTGTAGTTGCTCTATTCACCACCAGATCACTTTTCCTATTGAAGGGCTCGAAGTCTAAGTGGCGACTAGGCCTTAGTCAACCATGATACTACTAAACATCACACATATCTTTGAATTTCTTCGCCGATATGGACCACGATGTTATCCTTCACCGTAAGAACGTTGGGTAAATTATGTACATATGAAATTCTAAAATCACATTGGTAAATGGGATTTGAATCCACAACCTGTAGATTATAAGTCAAGTATCAACCCCCATGCTAGTGACGCTCTTCTAAATAAATTTCTCTTATAAATGTTTTATTTTTAAGAGAGCGATAGATTTCAATAAGAAGTAAGCCTTTATAACAAACATTTTATTGTTTAAAACCGTGGCTATAAAGAGAAATAAAATAATGCTTCAAAGGCCGTTTGGAAATTTAAACCTAAGACTGCAATTTCTCTGTCGATTATTGAAACTTCCAACAAAACTTTTGCCGACTTTGGGAAATTTAAATTGTGAAGATAACGTTACTGGTCGAATTTTCAGTGAAATTCTAACTAAATGTTTGTTGGAGTTTTATCTGGACGGGATCAATGACCTGAGAAAGAGAAACTAAATAACTCTTTTTGGCACAATTAATACTAGCAAATAGAATGAAGATTACCTCTTTAACAAGGATATTTAGAATGGGTTAATATTTATAAATATTTTTGTTACATAGACAGTTTAACCACGAGAATTATGTCCTAGGTAAAAATTACATAGGTAAATAATCTAGACAAGAATAAAAACATCCCCTAGAGGTGCATCACTAACTAGCTGTTCCAGGGCGGCTTCATCCGCATGAAATGTCAAAATTCAAATGCACAAATGACAATTGCTTCCTTGATGTTGGCAGCAAATTATGGTCTCTTTCCCACATTAGGATTTTGATATTTACTCCCAAAGTTTAATGGCGTGAAAATATATAGCCTAAAGCGTGACGTAAGTGTAGGGCTTATTATTAAAAAATACTATTCAAAAATATGCTGTAATTGCAATCTTAGGCAACAAAGCAGTGTGTGTTTAAGCTTTATCATAATAGTATAGATAGTATAAATTCTGCTAATACTCAAATAAATTCTACAGTTGTCTGGTATATGGCACGTTCTTATATTTCTTTTATTTCTTCTCTTCTTTTCTTTTAAGTTCTTATATCTGAACACGCATTACTAGGATCTATTTAAATCCAATATTTTTAGGGTTGCTATATCATTATTAATTAAATATGTTCTTCTGACTCTAAAAAAATCTTTTTATAGGACAGTTTATGAGTTTTTTAATTGTTTCAATAAAGTTATTTCAATTTATACCTGCAAGTAAGTCTTCCAACTTGACCAACATTTGTCGCTGATTTCGCCAAATTGGGCGAAGTATCCATTTCCGGTTTGAATTTAACAACCAGCATAACATCTTGTTTGGTTTCTCCGCCGATGCCGTTGTCCACAACGCATTGGTAATTCCCAACATCTTCTCTCGTCGCTCTATCGATTGTTAGATAACTCGTTTGATTTCTCGATTCGAATGTGATTGTTCTAGAATCGATATTATAACCTTTTCTTTGCCATTTAATATGTTCCGATGTCAAAGGATTACCTGGAATACGATTCGAAATTAGACATAAAAATTCATTCGGGTTTTCTAATGTTATTGTTTTGTTTTCTTAGTATTTAGTCTCGTAGACTTTAACTGACTCTGTAAATATATGTCTCTTTAATTTGTTTTTACTATTTTAGGTTTGTTTCTTTTATTATGGATGATTTTATTGGAAAAAGTGACTTATAATATTTAGTAGATCCTCTGTTAAGAGTCACTACAGCTTTTTGATAATAGATTTATATTCAATAAAAATGAAACATTAAAGAAAATACTGCATTTTGCAAAAACTCTCATCTATACTGATGTTTATAAAGAGGTATGATTTGTATTTTCGTATTTTGATATATGTTTAAATAACTTAAAAAGTACTGTGTTGTTTCAAAAATTTTTTCACCATTAGAAAGCTACGTTATCAGTTAGTAACATAGCAACAGCTAGTTCAAAGTAGAGCTATTTCTGTCTGTCTTTTCGTAAAATTTGAGATAAAAATGTGTTCTTGTAAACTTAATGTTCCTGATACTCACCAGTAGCAGTACAAGCTAATACAGCGTCTTCGTTTGGATTAGCAATACCGTTTTGTGTTACAGTTTTAATTCCTGCCGCATCTAAAAAGAAAAGAAAAGGTTTAACCCCACCACAAAAACTTAAACATAGTTTCAAATCCGTTTTATCTTAAGTTTTAGGTTCTGTCCCACCACTGGCTGATAGAAGCTCAGATAGCTTAAAAATGACGTCATTGTCAGATAAGGGAACAAATTTTGTGGAAGTAGAGGACTTCATAAGAGTTAAGAATATTATACAGGATAACGTTCACGTTCATAATGTTCTCTATAACTAAATAAATTTTTCTTGGTGTTATATTTACATAACATCTTAGCACGAATAGGCCGGCACGCCCGGTGTAATAACACGTCCACCCAGAAGACAGGAATGAAATGGAAACAATTCCGTGTTTCGTCTGATGAGTGTGGTGCCGGAGGCCTTATTTAATTCCCTTTCTCTTTACCACTCTTTTCTTATAAGGAGAGGATGGAAAGGGAAAGTGGATTTGACGGCGGAGGAGATGCATAGGAAGGGGAAATATCCTCTTTATGTGCGTCTCCTCCTTCGTCAGAAAAGGGTAAGTAATGTATCTGCAATTGCGGATGTTTATGGGCAGCGGTCGCTTCGCCGCTTCGGCGGATTCAGGTGGCCGCTTGCTCGTTTGCCACCTTATGTTATAAAAAAAATAAATACAGAATATGCAGATGGAAAGTTTCTTTAAAGATTTTCTCATGTTATTGAATTATCATATTGCAGAAATTATTTACTATGTATATAAAAACTCATTTCTATTTTCTTTCTTACTATGGAAATTTCCAAAGCAAAATCAGATTTTCTTAACGATGTATAAACAAGGTACAAGGTTTTCTTGCTTCGTTATTAGCAATTTCCACTAACGTCTGTATGAGGTTATAAAATAACTTACAATGTACGGGTCATATGCAATTTCTAGGAAAGTTAACAAGGTAATTCATAAGCAGTTATTACTAACGATTTCTCTTATCTTTACCTTTTTAAATGTATTTTTGGTTACACAAGAATTTACGAAATTGTATGGAGAGATAAATTTAATAAATTACCTAGTAAAAATAACTATAATTTCTAGAAATTCTAGAAGTTTCTAGAAACAATATTAACTTAATGTAAATTTACAGTAACGAGTTGCTACAGATGATGGTAAGCGATATCTAATTACAAATTTTACAATTTATAATGATTTTACAAATTATAATCAGTACACAAATTTTAATGACGTTACAAATTTTAATCATTTTGCAAATTTTAATGATGTTACGAATTATAATCTTACAGCTTAATATTGTAAATACAAAAGTTTAGATGGATGGACAAATGTTTGTTAGAGTTTGTTCCCTAAGCTGAACGGATCTCGATGAAATTTTGTAGAGATGTAGAGGATAGTCTGGAAGAACACATAGGCTAGGTATTATTTTTTTAAAAGCGATGTTATAGTATTTTATTTGATTACTTACAATGGACGGAGACGGTGATGTTGAGTGTGGCCGCGCCCTGCGAGTTGACCGCCTCGCACGTGTACACGCCGGCGTCATGTCGCGTCAGACGCGTCATGTTCAACATACTGCCTTCTGATATTATTCTATCGTCTGTCAAATAAAATAAACATATTATTCGTTATTGTCAAATAAAAGAAATCTATAATGCACACCTTTGACTAAACTATCGCACAACTGTGTAGTCTCTGATTCGTATGAGCTAATATGGAGGTTACGCTACTGGATTTTAAGTCGTGCAACTAAATAGTTGAAGGCTGCGTAACAATCGACAATCGCGATTGTTTAATCGAAGTTGTGCGTCCGCTCTAATTGATGTATTTTGTAGTATCGTAACTTTTGTTTTTTTATGATATAATTGCAAATGATTGAGTGGCCATCTAAATCCACAGAGAGCATATCGACCCTCAATTGACTAAGACTCACATAAACAGAATATTTCCCCTTCTTATGCGTCTCCACTGTCAAATCTACTTTCCTTAAAGGGAATGGGACTTGTACTAACTAATAATTGTACTCGTAGTATAAATTAAATCACTAAATAAATAGTAATTTCGTTTCTGAATTATAAATCCATATTAAATTATATGTAATTTGACATTCTATTTGAGTTCCCACTCAAAGGAAATTAAATTCATCTGATAAATGTTTGTAGACGGCACTAACGAAGTCTGTCGTGTTGAATCAATACCTAGACACTTTGACTATAAGAAATGGACTAGATAAACGTAGTTGAACTGAAAAAATTGGGCCACATTTCTCGGGGCATAAACATACGTGCATATTTGCTGATATGGAAGAAAAAACTATAATATGCCATCCTGACTTAATTTACACCCTAAAAAAGCACAGTAGCAAAAGAACATATATGCGTATTTTGACAGAGAAATAAGTTTGTCAAGTCCTGTCTCTTAGAACTCAAAGATTAGGTGTACAGACTTGGTAAAAGTTATTATTTATTTTGTATACATTTGAACTTACTTGAACTGCTATACGAAGACTGTGTGATGGGCAGGCCGTCTTTAGTCCACGTGTAGGCGATGCTGGGCGGGTTACCGTCGGCCCGCACCACTATCACCAGCGGTTCATTCTCCACACCTACTGCCGTCTCTTGTGTAGTCTCGTCGAAGATCGGCGCATCTAGATAGAATCATCAGTGTTGGTTAGATAATGACATTTATGTCATCACTAGATCACTATACGTCCCCATTAAGGGTCTCGGAGCCTACCCTAAATGACTAGGCTATAGTCAACCACGCTGGCCAACTACGAGTTGACTTCACATATATCTTTGAATTTATTCGCCGATATGTGCATCACGATGTTTTACTTCACCGTAAGAACGTCGGGTAAATTATGTAGTTATAATACATATGAATTTGCAACTTGCAACATGGAATTTGCAAATGGTAAATAGTACTTTATGAATCAAAATTGTCTTTGATAAAATATGTATCATTTATAAACGGCTATAAAGTAGATATTATATGCAATTCCCAATGTTAACTGGTATGCCAGCAACCATTCACAACTACATGTAGCTGACATGTGCCAGTAACTTGAATGCAAGTGTGCCAATTACTGGCATAAACATGCACTGTCCAGTCAAACCTAATCATGGTTTACTGTTTATTTCCTTCCTTATTAAAGGACTACCGTAGATACTCAGCCTTTAATTGATCAACAAATTATTCCTTAGTTAAACTTAATATAGATTTACTAAGCAACTACGTTTCGATAACTCTTAGTGAAACTTACAAAGCACTTTAAGCGGTAAGGCATCGTGCACACTTCGCTGTAACGCCTCATTGGTAGCCTGGCAGGTGTACACTGCGCCGTTCAGTTCCTTGCTGACGTTCAATTTCAACTCTATAGTGGAGACTGTGCCGCCATGGAGACCTTTCTTTAGCTGCATTGGAAGACCTAGGAATAGACAAACATAAGTACAGATAGGCTAATCATTATAAAACACTGTCAAGGTTTTTGAAAGTCTAGTACTTTAGAGACAGATCAATGTTTCATTTATAACAGTATTGTAATATTTTTTAATCCTTACCTTGCACTGGTATCCCATCTCTCCACCAGGAGAGTGCCGCGGGAGGGTTGCTGGAGGCGGCATCACAGTACAACGTGGCTTCCGTTCCCGGCCTCAGCTCTGATGGCTCCGCGCGTACTTTAACAGCTTCTGGTGCGACTGTGTACAAATACTTATTAATTAAAATATAGCCTAGTAGCTTTCGCTCGCGACTCCGTCCGTGTGGAATAAAAACAAAGTAAGTGGCTAACTTGTTCTTTCAGACTATCCTCTACGTAAGTACCAAATTTAATCGAGATTCGTTCAGCAGTTTAGGCTATAAACTCTAACAAACATCCATCAAAATTTTTTAATATTAGTATGATAGTATGATATAACGCAACAATGACGTAGCTTTTAAACAATTATAGAAATCAACGCAGTAGTTTTTGAGTTATTTCAATACATAGAAATATGGAGGTACTGGATTTTGTTTTGGTGGGAGAGATTTAATCAGTCTGGAGGTTTGGATTTGGGAAGGAGACTCGAACTTTTTTTTTAAATTTTATAAGGCGATGATCGAATAAGCGGCCACAGGAATAACGCATGTTTTTTACAATTCAAATAACAGTCATGGTATTTCTTTTTTAATAAAATTAGTCATGACAGAGTTCAGATGTTTGTAGTTAGTTTCAACGCTTTGGTGTTCCCTTAAAATAGTTTCTTTCTGCTCTGCTCTCATTTTCAAATAATTATTTTTTTCGTCCTATTTTTCTAACGCCTTTTAAATCTCGGAATTCCTATCACTGATGTTAGATAATTTTAAATTTCACCTCTTATCTAAGATGTTACAAATCGCAAGAGTTTTAGTTTAAATGAAATTTCTCTCGCAAAATTGCAAAGTTGGGATCCGCATTTACGCTTCAACCGACACGAATCTCGTAAGTTCCAACAGTTTTAGCTATTAAAATACTTGCTTTGTTACAAAGAAAGCTTTCTTGCAGTATGTTGCGTGAATTAAATATAATTGTAACAATTACTACACTTCTGTAAGCTTACCGCAGTATGTAATTACTGCTTTATATCGTCAATGGTCATCATCCACTTGCCCTTATCCCTTACGGAGGGTCGGCACAGTATGTGCTTTTCCATACATCTCTATCAGCCGTGATATCTGAATCCACTCCTTTCTTAAGCATATCCTCTTTCACACAATCCATACTTTCTTCGGTCTTCCTCTACCTTTGTAGCCATCCAATCTTAACACTTTCTTAATCGTCAGTACATAGAATAAAACAAAATCTCTTCCCGCTTTGTCACTATGCTTAGATCTTTAAAACTAAGCAAAGGATTGATGCAGTTTTTAATAGAGTAATTCAAGAGGAAAGTTTATATACACACCTCATATTATAAAAAGGAAAGATTTGTATTTTTTGTATGTATTGAAATAACTCAACTACTGGGCCGATTTCAAAAATTCTTTCACCCTTAAAAAGCTACGTTATCAGTGAGTATAGGCTATATGTTTTTTTTATTTCGCTCGAGCGAAGAAGCAATTATCTATACTATTATAATAAAGCGTAAACACACACTTTGTTGCCTAAGATGTCAGCAATTACAGCATATTTTTGAATAATTCTTTTTCTAATAAAAAGCCCTACATCATCACGCTTTAGGCTATATATTTTCAAGCCATTAAACTTGAGGGTAAATATTTTGGATAAAAAATCTAATGTGGGAAAGAGACCATAAGTTGCTGCTAACATCAAGGAAGCAAGATTGCCATAGTAAGGTAATAACTTCATGCGGATGAAGCCGCACGGGAACAGCTAGTTGTATAGTAGAGAAATACTGATAATTTTAGAGGTTACTAATGTAAATAAAAGAAAAATGCGTTTAAAAAGTTCATTGGCTTCATATTTTATCCATATCAAATTATTTCTACCTACGTTTACAATCTAGGACAATTTCCTAGTACAATTATATTAGAGCATAATTGTTAGAGACGCTGATTTGATTCTAATTCGTTTTTGATTGGTTCATATTTATGTAGATTAAATAGAAAATCTAACGACCTTTGTGACTTGATAGTCTTTGGAAATTGCCCTTTTACGAGTAAATTAGATTATGTTTCGGTGAGTATATTCAATTTCCTATATTAAAGCATCTTATTAATATAATGGGTTATAATTTCTCATTGTATGTACTGTATTATATTATACAAGCTGTTGCTCGTGACTTTGTCCTTTTAAAATTAAAGAAAGATAATAAAAGATGCCTATGTTACTAACAGAAAAATCACATATACAAAAATGCAAATTATTCCTCTTTATAATATTAGTAGAATAAAGTATAAGTTGGGAGCTAAGTTTTTTAACTTTTTTTTTTTTATAACATAAGGTGGCAAACGAGCAAGCGGCCACCTGAAACCGCCAAAATGGCGAAGCGACCGCTGCCCATAGACATCCGCAATTGCAGATGCGTTGCCTACCCTTATACGACGGAGGAGGAGACGCACGAAATTATGAAAATTTTATATTATTGTTTATGTTTGTGAAATTATCAATAGCAAATGTCAAAATGACATGACATGATGACAACTTTGCTTCCTTGATGTTGGCAGCTTATGGTATCTTTCCCACATTAGGGTTTTTATCCAAAATATTTACCCCTAAGTTTAATGGTGTGAAAATATATAGCCTAAAGCGTGACGTAAGTGTAAGGCTTTTTATTAAAAAAGAATTATTTAAAAATATGCTGTAATTGCTGACATCTTAAGCAACAAAGACGTGTGTGTTTACGCTTTATTATAATAGTATAGATTGTTGATTACGTATAAACAAGATGATAATTTTTTTTACTAATATGCTAATAAAGATGGACGGATGTTGGAAGGTATCTAAAAACGGGCGATATATTCAGTTTTTAAAAAGCTAATAAAAAAGTTCAACTTACAATGTACATTTAAGGTGACAGTCTCAAACAGTGGTATTTCTGTCGCGCTG